TACACAATAATATTATACATAAAATCTATTTAAGGGGGGCCGGAAGGCCAATTTAGCTCAAAAGGAATGATTCATTGATTTACAATGAATCTTAACCAAATCACTATGGAACCGCGCAAATGACTCGTTTAGAGTTCATTTGAACGGGCCACAATTATAACCTTTGCAACGGATATAAATATCCAATCTATAGTGAAACACTATGTATTAGCAAGGTAACTTTAGATCAAACAGTACAAGACATTAAATGTGCAAACACAACACAAGACAATTATCTTTTCAAATATATGGACAAGACTTTATTAGCTATTCTTAACACATAAAACTAATATCTAACACAATCACACACACATTCATACAAGGCGCAGAGGAAGAGAGAGAAAGAGTGAAGTTTCAGAGTGAGATGTTGAAGTTTCAAGTTTCTATATGCACGTAAGACATGACCTGAACGAACCATCAATCATTAATTTAAACCTTCATTTAGGCAGGTTAGTCGATTTACATGAATGCACCAGTTCAGCTAAGAGTCTGTAGTTCAGCTGAGTACTTGCTTGTCTTTGCGTTGCTTTGGGAATTCCCTTTTTGTCCTGTTTCGGCAAAGGGGTTTCCCGGGTCCGTGGTTGTCTTCTCGTGCCTGGGTGGAAGTTTCTGAGCTGCCGGTCACGTGTGGTTGGCAGGCGAATGAATGTCTTTGAAGTTGGAAGCGCGTTGCAGGAGAGACGTTTAAAATGAAACTTTGCAGCAAGCTTTTTCTCCATATAATGGACTTACATGGGAACCAGACGGTCCAAGGTCGAAAAGACAGTTAATAACAGTTTCAGATGCAGCTTCAAATGTCTTTAAACGACACCAGACGATGAATAAGGGTCTTATCATGCGAAACGATCGGTTATTTCAAAACTTATTCCAAAAATGTAACTTTACTAAGGACAAATGCTAGCCTTGCTCTATTCTGTGAGGCGTGTTTGTAACGTCACGTAATACGTTATTACGTTCAAAAGGTCACGGGCGACGTAGCCGGAAGTACAGAATCAAAATAGTCCGACATCGTTGTTTTACCTTTTAATTCCTTTTTTTGTAAACGGTGTTTGAGCTAGTTTGCACGTTCAACCTATGCCTTCAACTTGTAAACACTGACTCTGTACTTACGGCTACGTCGCCCGTGACCTTTTGAACGTTTATGTATTACGTGACGTTACAAACGCGCCTCACAGAATAGAGCAAGGCTAGCATTTGTCCTTAGAAAAGTTACATTTTTGGAATGAGTCATTAAATCATGTTTAATTTTGACTTCTCTGTGCATGCTTTTTGGTGGACCCACTTAGCCTCCAGTGTATGACTGATAGACAACAACGGTTTGACTGAAAAATGTCAAAATTTAAAATACTGTGGAAACAAAGACACATCTTGGATGCCCTTGACGTAAGCTAAAACATATCAAAAATTAATTTCAAAGTGAACTATCCCTTTAATGACACAGAGAAGGTACAACATTTGGGCCACATTTCATTAATCACACAAAAAAAACAAGTGCATTTTTCCTCTTTATTCTTTAGTAACATGTTACACGCATAACAAAAAATAAACGCTCTCAAAGAAATCTGAAGTTGATTTTTTTGACCTGCTTTACAGTTACAGTTCAGTTCTTTGTGTTATTTTCTGCTTTATTTTGCCAAATACTTGTAATGAGTTAAACTAGCTTAGAGGAGTTTAGGACCTTATTAAAGATTCAGGAAGCGTGTCATTGGTCAGTAGATCTTTACAGGCACAAGGAGAGAAAATCCTTCAATGTAAACTTTTTAGAGAACAACATCACTTGTCATAAAGCCATTCCTTAAACCACATGAGGTACTAAACACACGAGAAGCTCAAGAGACGCGGCTCTGTTCAAGGCCAAGCAGAAGTTCAGTAGAAACACAAAAGATAATCTTAATGTTCTTCAAACAGAAATGTTGGTCCAGAGATTGTCACATTTAAAGGCATGTGCGATCAGTCGTTCCACACACACACACACACACACACACACACACACATCAAATACTCACTGCGAGTGTCTTTATGACGTGAATCATGAGGATCTGAGGTGATATTATGGCACGGGATGATTTGGCACCGGAGGACAGAATAAAACCGTGTTAAAGGCCCGTTCACACAAAGGAAGATAACTACAACTACAAGTTATCTTAAATATAAAGAATAGCAGAGTCCACACCGCATAACAATCACGACGAGAAACCAGGTTTTCTCACCAGCTGATAATCGTTAAAGACGCTGACAGCCAATCAGAATTCATCCTGCTTTAAACAGCGCGAACATTTAAAGCTACAGACGGAAAAACTGCAGCGCGCGCTTAGAATAAACAATGATGGAAGATTATAATTATCATCTTTTTAGTTATCATTATTAGTGTGAATGGGCCTTACGAATCAAAACATCAAACTCTAGGAAACCTTATCGATCATTTTGAGCTCCAATACAGACCGTTAAACAATCATAACAATATGAATCTCACCAAACCTGTCAAGAACAGTTCATATTTCACCCTGAACTTATATGATAAAAACAACAACAAAAAAATAACATTATATTTTGCATTACGAGTAGCCTATGAAGCCTATGTTTATCGCAGTAATGAGAATCAAAAATAAAAACATGTATTGAAGACGTGTTTAACTGTCATTAAAATAATATCACAGTGCAAAACATCTTGGTTTAGGGTGAAATTTGACCTGTACATGTTTTTATGGTATTCACAAAAAAAAAAAAAAAAAAAAAGTACAGAAATTTGTATTAATATGTCTGCACAAGAACACATCCAGTATTATTTCATGCCAAATTCACAAGACATATTTTGCATTAAAAATAAAGCCTATTATCATATTAGGACCAAGATTTCTTTTCCTATAAACAATTTCAGTTTTAAAAAATACCTCCAAATTCTCAGTACTGCAATGATAAACAAGAAAAAAAAAAAGCATTTAATTGAACACCAGGATAATTTGTAACTGGCTTTTTGCTGATTTACTGTAAATAAAAATAAAATAATGTACAGTATTATAGGAATTATGACAAAACAGAATAAAGTCAAGCACTCACACGCTACAGTATTGAGAGTTTGACGTTGAAATGTGTGAAAATAATGTTACAATGCAAACATCCTAATGCTTTTGAGTGTGGGCTGAGATATGATCTGGATGTGTGTTTTCAGGATATTGTCTTTCAGATGCATTAAAAAGAGTCGCTGGCAATTTCTTTTCAAATCTTAAGAAGTATGGAAGCTTGTTTTTGTCACGGAATAAAAAAAGGGTGTATCACAAATGTGAGACATAAACTCCCAGTTGCAAGTTACAAAGTCAGAATTGTGAGATTTTAGCTTTCTATTTTACTTAAATAAATGTTTTGAATTGTTTTTATTTTTTATATTTTTAGTTTTCGTGTTAATTTTGGTAAATTTTTTGTAATTTCATTATATATTGCTATTTAGATCAAATAAAATGTTAATTTTAGTGGCTTAAACTAAACAAAAATTTAAAAACATTTTTCAACTAATATTTACATTGTATTTTAGTTTTAGTTAATGATAATAACCCTGGAGATTTTTTTTGATTCTGTGTTGAAAACAATCTTCCATACAGAAGCGTGTTAGAGCCGCTCACAAACACATATAAACACACCATAATTATTGAATTATTTGTTTGCATTTGTCTCTACCTTCTACAGTTCGTTAACTCTCATGTGAACACAATCGAAAAATTCAATCTGAAATCCTCCAGAGGTCTGTGGGTGATCGAGCTCCAGTCTGAGATTCATCTGTGTGGTTTAATAACACGGGTCGTGTTATTAAAAGCGTGGTTGTGTGAGAGACGTCTAAAGCCGCGAGTGAACCTACTGTTGGCCGCATGCACAGACACGCATCATCACGAGACACGACAGCATCTCAAACACTCAATAAAACGTTGGACATTCAGAAGCTGAAGCGTCTCTTTGGCCTGTAGACATGCACAGGATTCCATCCACCAAAGACCCACTCCGGCAGGCAGTGTAATAGTGTTTGGCACAAACCGTTTCTAGACCGTTCTCTACAGGCGTGATCACGGATCAAATGACCCATTTATGAATTCAGAAACCAGACGCTGTATATATTTTTGTATGTACATTCATTTAGATGTCCAATTGAGATTATGGTTCATAACATCTTAGCTTTCGCCACTTCAGGATTTTGGATTTTGTTTTTTCTGACATAAGATCAAAACTGGTCAATCAATCGTTTTCAATAATAAGGATTTCTTTTAACGCTTTTGAAAGAGTATCTTCTGCTCACCGAAGCTGAATTATTTGATAAAAAAATATGAAATATTTTTTAAAATATATAGTAAAGTGTAATTTATTCCTGTGATCAAAGCTGAATTATGATCATTACTCCAGTCTTTCAGTGTCACATGATCCTTCACAAATCACTCTAATATGATGATTATTTGTCAATGTTGAAGATTGTTCATATTTTTTGTGGAAACCGTGATACACTACCATTCAAAAGTTTGGCGTAAGTATACTTTCATTAAGCGAGGACGCATTAAATCGATCAAAAGTGAATCCTGAAAAATAAAATGCATCACTGTTTTCAACTGATAATAATCATATATATGCTAATGAGCATCGAATCATCATATTAGAGTGATGTGTGACTCTGAAGACTGGAGTAATGATGCTGAAAATTCAGCTTTGATCACAGGAATAAATTACACTTTCCTATATCTTCACATAGAAAACAGCGATTTTAAACTGTAATAATATTTCACAGTTTTTACTGGATTTGTGATCAAATAAACGTCGCCTTGCTGACAATAAGAGACTCGTTCAAAAGCGTTAATTATTCAAAACTTGAGATGCATTTGCAAATAGTTTATTAAGTAATCCAGTATAAATTTGTCAGGGTTTGTTAAAGATCACGAGGCAGTACGACAGCTCTCACAAACTCTCCAATGGGAAATATACATGTCCACACACACACACACACACACACACATATCTGTAATACAGTGGGTCAGACGGGCGTGCGAGATGCCGGCCGCTCTGAGACGGTCCGCTAGAGGAAGGCCACTGCCTGCGTCTTTAACATGCACATTTCTTCTCGTTGGCCGGCGCAGCGTCCAGTTTGCTGGTGCCGTCCGTGTTTTTGAGTGTCGGCCGCGGGTTTGTCCACACACTGCTCCATCCTCTTCATCACCAGGTCCAGTAGCGTGACCACGGCCTTGTCCACCTCCGTACCGGTGGCCGCACTCGTCTCGAAGTAGGGAAATACTGGAGGAGGACGATGCAAACACAAACACACATCAGAGATGAAGCTGGATTCACGCACACCACACACACACCACACACAACACGGAAAATAAGCTGAATGTGTTACATTAGAGCTGCACGATTAATCATTCAATTCATGTTTATTTGTATAGCGCTTTACATAAAGTGTATTTACAATGTAGAGTCTGTTATCAGAGGAAAACTGTCTAAGTTATGTGTATTTCAGAAATGTACATATACCAAATCACAGTTAGCTATTTTTGATTTATTTAAACAATGTAATGGGCTCTATGCACGGCGTTATTTCCGGTGAAGGATTAAGGATGCTCGATTAACTTCCGCCGATCGTAGAGTTCAATGCAA